CTCAGCCACCCACTGCCCCCAAAGTCCTCCTCCTGGCCTCCCCATTGACCCTGCACCCACCCCCATGGCTTCCTTTGGCCTCATTAACACCAGACCCCCCACCCCAATCTTCCCTGTTAATCCTGCACACTCCCTACCGTAGTCCCTACCATAACTCCAGACCCCTCTGCTCCCCCATTGAGCCTCCACTTCCATCCCAAAACTATCTGAGTTGGAAAACAACTTTTGGGATCTTCTCGACCAACCCAGCTGCCCATACCCCTGACCCATGTTCCTGGAGATAAACCACTGGCCAACCCTGCACTATATTCTCCATCCTCTGCCCTGCCTATATGACCAAGACCTTGTCCATTGAGTGTGGTCACCCCAGGATTCATGATTAACCACCTTTCTGTTATTCCCCAAACTCAGATACACCCCAAAGCCCCCCACTGACCCAGGAAAGCCCTGTTAGTCCCATACGATATAACCCTGCTCACTCCCTGCCTGTTCTTGTTTCCTTCTGCTGCCATGCTATGCTTGAGAAGCTACTAAAAATGCTTCCACAACCTATGGTCTAATTCCTTTACCTTCCTCAAATTCAGGAAGGTAAGGTAGGCAGAGTGTATTCTCCTGCTCCCCAGCTACTTGCCTGCCTCCAGGGATGCTGCTATGGAGGAGCCAAGCCAGCCCAGCTCTCCTGGAGCTGGTCCAAAAGATCACAGGTTTGTGGTCCCCAGGAAGCACCTCCAAACATGGGCATCAGGGTCAAGAGGCATCTCTGAGACAGCCGTGAAGCTATGGACTCTGACAAGGCCAGATGATCTGAGCTTTGCTAACAAGGGGGTGGTTTTCCAGGTGGGGAGAGCTTTGGTCACCCAGGAAGGGGAGGGAGAGAAGAGCGAGCAAAACCCCATTGGCCACGCTGGCCTTTAAAAGGATGATGACACTTTTCTCCCTTGGTTATTTCAGCAACAGTGTTTGTCAGAGATACAGAGCCAGAATACCAAGAGATGGTATCAGTATCTCAGAGAGGGCATATTTCCTCCAAAACTATGTGATAACCCCAATGGTCCTTGATTACTTTCGCTGGTGAGGAGGAATATGAGTAATAAAGGCTTCTCCTTTCCCCAAAATACCTTTGGGATGCCTGAGAGATGACCTCCCTGGGGTAGGTGATGGTGACATGGAGCTCCCAGATATTTTTGCTGCCTGCAAACCATGGATGGGTACTGGCAGTCCCTCCCGCTCCCCAGAGCAGCTTGGAGTGGCTCAAAATTTGCCAAGTGGGTCATGATGCAGAGAATTTTCTACAGCTGCTCTGGCAAAAGAGAAGCCAGCCCTGCTCCCCAGCACAGTGATGTAGGGATAGAGGAGACCATCTGTCTGTCCTTCTCCAGCTGCCTTTGGCTCCCTGGTGGGTCTAGCACCCAGAGGGGAGGACTGGGATGCTTTGTTTTCTCCATGCCTTGACCCACAAGGGTCTCATCCTGTCCTGGATGATCTTGGCATCTTCTTGAGCCCTCAGTATTCACCTGGTCCATGCCTTGATGACCTTTTTCATCAGCTCATAGGTGGCCACCTCCAGACTCCCGCAGCCATCAGCTCTGCTCAGAAGTCTTCCATGTGCCTTTTACAAGGGCGATCATGGTGTCTAATCTAAACCAAAACACTTTGCACAAAAAGGAGGTTTATTTTGATTATAGGTTAAGAAAAGCAATTTTAAAAGCCGGAGCGGGGGAATCAATACCAAAACTCTAGTTCATAAGGAAATGAGTACTCAGATTTCTCTCCTATTTCAATTTGGACGAGTGCGGTTGAAAATTAAACACTTTCCCCAGGAAAAGGACATCAATGCAATTATTTTCCTTGAAGTTCTTGATCTGAAAAAAAAAAGCTTGAGTTTTTCAACCTGCTGGATGGTGTTTAGATGCTGTTTTCCCTGTTGACTCACAGGATGACTCATAGGTTAAGAGCAAATGAATCAACACGGTTTATCATCCAGACTTATCTGGGCCACGTTACCGTAGTTTATTGGCATCTTGTTTATTCGCACGTTGCCTGCAAGGCCATTGTACCTTGGGCAAACTCAAGCACAGAAACTCTACACTCCCTGCTGTAGTTGACAAAGGCATAGCCGCAAGTTGCCCAAGTCCAAAGTCAAAGGGTTTCCCTTGAGGACAAGTCTCGGGTGCCAAAAGTTTCCTTACCCACCGTGACTGCTTCTCTTGCGGATGTACAGCAGGGAGGCAGAAACTGCCTCCCATGGAGTCATTTCACCCACAAAGATGGGAGCGGAGTGTCTCATCAAAAGCCCCATGATTTTGGGTTGAGGGAGCTAAAATGCATCTGACGACAGAAACAAAAGGAAATGCCCACCGGTGTGAATCCTCCACCTCGGCATGAAAACGAAGCGAGTGGGCTGCTCTGGCTATTCCTGGAGGCAGCTGGGAGGGTTGAACATTAAAATTTTAGTGATAACTTACATATCAACACATTTTTGCCTGAAACTCCAAATATTTCAGGATTTAGCTGAAATACAAGGTATTCGTGTTTTCCAGTGAGAAAAGATCCCTTCTCTGCAGGAAGCAGGTACTTTTTATAAATTGGTATTAACCAATTTCCAACCCATATAGGGGTTGAACCCCATTATTTCCAACCAATATAGGTCTAAATAATGAGAGTATCGTTTCTTCCTTCAATTATCAGATCCTTCTCATGCCACTAGCACCTTGAAAGAGGCAGCATGTTCACCTTTCAGCTGGATTTATTGATGTGACCCCATTGCAAAGAGATGCATCTGGCTCTACCCCAAAAGCATCAGATCTACCCATTCACCCAGCTTTGCCAGTTTAGGAAATCACAGCATCGAGGACTCACCAGATGGGATGGGGAAAACCTCGGCAGCGCCGTTCCCCACCACAACAGCTGATGTGTCGGTGCAGGAAGACAGAAGATGCCTCTGACAGCTGGGGCAAATCCTGGAGGCTTTCAGAGATTAGGACCAGCCCCTAAACAGGGCCCTAGGATTAGATAGGAGGTGGTGAGACTTTCCCACTTGCACATCGTAAAGCAAAGCGGAGATGCCAAAAGCCCAGAATAAACAACAGGCCCATGTCATCCGGGTGGGAAGGGCTCCTTGAAGCTGTAACATCCTCCGTGCTCGTCTCCTTTTGTCCCTTGTCCTCATGAATACCTTTGGAGAGCCCAGGTGGGCTTTCTGCACCCCAAGAGGACTCTGAAGGCAGCAGGGTGAGTGTCATACGCTGGTGCCTGGACAACCACAGATTTTGAGCATGGCATCATGAGGTCCTTGACACAAGTGATGTGTTTTACCAGGACAGAGGACAGAGCCAGGCTCCAAGGGCGTCAAGAAGGAGCTGTCACACATAGTCTGTATCAGGGTGAGGAAGGGGACACCCAGGACTGACAGGGTCCCCATTGCAAATTCCACTGAGATTTACTCAAAATCGCCTAATGGGGGAGAGCAGGAACGGTACCCACCTCCCTACAGCCACATCCAGCCCTACTCACTCCTTATGGACTGTGACTCCACGAGAGACGCCACAAATGGCCAGAAAAATGCCCAAATCCCTTGGATTTCAGCAGAAAGGAGGTGCCCAAACCCCTTTGGGGGAGGCTATTGCTACCAGTTACAGATACAGATGGTTCCTGAGTGGGGCTGTCCTGTCCTTTCGGCTGCTCCCCTCCTGCCCTTGCCTGTCCCCTCTCCAGGAGGGTTAAGTCAGACCTACAGAAAACCAGGAGGTCATACAGCAAACACACAGTGTCTGACCACAGATACCAGTGAGGCTGAGGCTCAGGGTGGCTCAGCTCCCCGCCTGCCCCATCACAGCTCCCCGCAGCTTTTCCAGCTTCCGTGTCACCACGATATTCGCAGCGCGCTGAGTCAAGCAGCCAGGGCAGGTGGGCTGCCATGTAGGAAAACTTTCCGTTTTGTGTGTCGCACACAAGCGGTTGCTTACTTCACCCCAAAGCAATGACTGCAGGCAGGGGCTCCCTTTGCTGAGCCAGGGCAGGGGCTCAACCCCTTTCCCAAACCCCCCAGGGTAGTGCCTGTTGTGGTGTTGCCCCAGGCAGGAGTTTTAAGTTAGAATTGCTGTTAAATGTCCTTGGCTGATCTAGAAAACACAGCCAGGCAATGAGGAGACATTGTCAGCATGGTTCAGGGTATCTCTGAGGTCCCATTGGGTATCCCTTGCTGGGTGCAGAAGTAGGGTTGATGCAGCCCAGTCACACACTCTGGTTACCCCTGTTGCATGGTCACACATCAGCTCACACCGCCAGCATCACCACAGGTTGATTCATCAAATCATTGATAACCCCTTCTTCACCAAAAGCATTATCAGGCACTGGAAGGGACTGCCCAGGGGAGTGGTGGATTTGCCATCCCTGGAAAGATTTAAAAGATGACTAGATGTGGTGCATAGGGACATGGTTTAGTGGTGGAGTTGGCAGTGTTAGGTTTACAGTTGGACTTGATGATCTGAA